TACTTATTCTCAGCTGTCATTGGACCGATTTTGATGGACAATACTTAAAATATCACAAATCGTATTTGTTGAATACATTTTCCTTAAAAATTGAAAAAATATCACTTAATCGCTGTAAATGGTAGAAATCTCTCAAAATATAACAATTTTCAAATACGGTAAATTTCGATATTTAAAAAAAAAAGATTTCTTAAAATTATCATAACTTTTTTAAAAATTGATAAATTAAAATAATTTTTTTATATAAAAATATCTTTGGTATTTTAATTTCATTTAACTATTTGGAAGAGCGAGAAGGGATTCAAAATAGCAACTTTTGCGTAAAAAAGGGCGTAATTAACCACTCTTTAAAAAAGAAATTATAAAAATAATTTAAGAGTATTATAAATATTTTCAAGGAGAACTTTTACATTTAATGTCAATCAATTTGAATGTTAAATAAATTATAGTTTTCGTGTTAAAAATTTTAATGTAATTTTTTTTTAACGCGTATCCAATTATTTTGCTACACAGGTTATTTATAAAACAAACAAAAGCAAAAGAAAAACTAATATAAGATCGCACAGGTGATTTAAAAGAACATACTAATGGCACAAGTGATAAAATAAAGGTAGTATATATATATATATATATATATATATACGTATACAGACAACAAATACATCAGTAGTCTTTTTAGGCCAGTCAACGAAGGAAAAATGGCGGAAAAAATTCCCAACCAAATTTTTTTTTTTAAAGTTGAATTAAGATATGTATAATGACATACTAAAAGTCCTCATCGATTGGACTTGAGCTTTTTTTTACAGCCTCGCAAAAGTTCAAAAATATGAGCTTTTATCATTTTCTCAAAAAAAATTTAACTTCCAAAAAAAATATCGTACAAAAGTTGTTTAAAAAACAATTTTAAACAAAAAAGGTATCTTATATTTTTCGAGTAACATTACATTTAATATGAGTACTAAAATTTATTTTCCAATTTTTTTCATTTTACGGTTACTTTTTAGCATGTTATACATTAGACACAATGTTATAAATGCATATGTGTGTATGTGTGAGTTTATTTATTTATAGTATCATTAAAGTGTATTGTATATTAAGATAAAACCGATAGAGTAGGTAATTGTTTTGACGCTATATTGTTTAAACCCAACTAAACGCTAAATTGTACATTCCTAAACAACAATTATATTATGTCAATTGCCACCGTAATTTCTGGTAATGATAAAGATAGTTGTCATAAAACGTATTGGCCTTTAGTCAGGTGCTGGCGCTAGTAAAAATTGTGCCTGCCGAAAAACATGGCTTAAATGTTCTATTATATGTGAACATTGCAAAGGTCAATGGCGTACAAATTCAATAGAAATAAATATTGAAGATCAAGAAAATTGTACTTTTGTTGAAGATATATTCTATCAAAATTTAGAATGGGATAGTGAATAAGAAAATGGAAAAAAATTTTATTTGATTCATTTGTCAAATACATACAGTTATAACTTTATTTGACCTTTTAAGATTTATATCATGAAAGTTATTATCCAACATTGAGTTTACTGGAACAAGATCAATTTTAGACACTTTATGACAATTAATTTTATCATTACCAGAAATTCTGGCTGGGTTGACAAAAGAAAATATGAGATATATGAAATGAGGAGATCAGTGACAATAGGCGAGAGTGTGAATGGGGAGGTAGAAAGTTTTAAGTATTTAGGATCAGTAGTGCAAAAGAGCGGTGGTATTGACGAGAATGTAAGACACAGGATTAAGTGCGGGTGGTTGAAGTAGAGAGAAGCGTCTTAGTGTCTTATGCCATAAAAGAATTCCAATGAGGCTAAAAGGTAAATTCTACAATTACTAGCACCAGCACCTGACTAAAGGCCAATACGTTTTATGACAACTATCTTTATCATTACCAGAAATTCCGGTGGCAATTGACATAATATAATTGTTGTTTGGGAATGTACAATTTAGCGTTTAGTTGGGTTTAAACAATATAGCGTCAAATCAATTACCTACTCTATAAGTTTTATCGTATTATAAATTACACTTTAAAGATACTATAAATAAATAAACTCACACATACATTTATAACATTGTATCTAATGTAAGTATAACATAATTTTTTTTTGTAAGTTAAATATTTTTTGAGAAAATGAAAAAAAGCTCATATTTTTGAACTTTTGCGAGGCTGTAAAAAAAAGCTCAAGTCCAATCGATGAGGACTTTTAGTATGTCATTATACATATCTTAATTCAACTTTAAAAAAAAAATTTTGGTTAGGAATTTTTTCCGCCATTCGCCAAAATAACTCCTTCGTTGACTGGCCTATTTACATAAATGCGGATCGTAATATACCCAAGTTGTAGGCGAATTATACGATACTTAAGGTAATGAGCAGAACCAACAAAAAAAAAAAACGGATATAACGACCAGTTAAGATGTACGTCGGAAACGGAACATAACGCATTCTCCGTAGTCCATACTCGGCGGCGGCCTTATCTTGGAGTCAAGGGCGGGGAGACAACCGATTGTCATATTAATAGCTGGACGGCTGATATTGAGAGAGACACCGATGAGCGCCAGCCGGATAATTTACCGGTAAAATTTCGTGTGGGCGACAAGGTGCAGATCAGTGTACATAAATCAGTGTTTGACAAGGGTTATTTGCCGAACTGGAGCACCGAACTATTTACCGTAGTCAAGGTTAGACAATCAGTACCACCAACTTACTATCTAGAAGACTATCAGGGAAATCCAATACATGGTTTGTTGTATACCGAAGAGCTGAACATGACCAGTTATCCGGATATGTATTTAGTCGAACCAGTGTTGCGAACACGAGGGGACCAGTGCTTTGTTAAATGGTTAGGATTTGGTCCAGAGCACAATTCATGGATACCGAAAACCAATATCTCACCTCAATGATTGTCGATATACAAGGTATTGTGGCAACCGACCGATCGTTTTTGGTCAAGGAACTGACTGTCATTGCCATAGACTGCACTTCATTCGCTCATTGGATGTTTAAACATCCAAAAAGTATCGAGGGCGATGCTAAAACAAACTTTTGGTTGAAAAAATACCTACATGGAATGGATATTCGTTGCGATGACGTTGAATACAATGAGTTGCCTAGAATAACAAAACTGTTGCGGTGCGAAACCATTTACGTGAAGGGAGCTGTGAAAAAGCGAGTAGTGAAAAATTACATACCGGGACGTATAGTCAACGTCGAGGATTTGGACTGCCCACCGCTGTAAATTTAAGTTGTGTTACAAAAATTTGTGTGTGTTCCCGCAGGGGAATCCGCAAGGATTACGGGCCATTAATCCCGCGGACCCTAGTTATTTCAGTGGGGGTGGCAACACGTACCACTGCTCTTAGCCGGTCATGACTTTGGTTAGTTGGAACCGGTAGGCCTGGGCATACCTGCTTGCTAACAGCGAATAGGCCCCCCTAACCCAGCCATACCAAGTGAAAGGGTTGCTAACTTGTCACAGGGTAGTTAGCCGAAAGGTAAAGTGACCATTGGGATCCTCTATGGCACCTGGCGCACCATAGAGTATACAGCCTTATCATAGTATTGAGCTCTGCTATGGCGGACCTTTATTTCTCGACTACTCGTGGGAACTATATGGATAAAAACATAGATAAACCACAAAACAACGAACTTATGACGATCAGGGATCCTACGGACAACCTGTCGGTCCAAGATTGTGAACTGGCGACTCTTCGTAGAAGAATCACCGAACTTGAAGGTCTCAATGCAAACAACGGGAGACAAGGGAACCGATGACTTGAAAAAGTCAAAGGGAACCGAAGCTCAAAACCCTGAGGACAAGGGTCAAGAACCTCCATGTAAGAAAACTCATTGGGTACCGAACTACAGGGACGTGGTAACCGAATGGTCCTCGCAGGCTACCCCACTAAGAAGTTGATCACAGAGCAGTGGCTACTCATTGAGTCTTGTGTTGGAGACTTGATACTGTCGGGTACTGATGGAACCGACGTACCAAGGTTTGAAGACACCAGACTCACTGATGGAGCACTTGTGATCAGTTCAGCCCAAGAGAGCTCTCTTAAGTGGCTCACTGACCATGTCAACCTGATAAAACCTTGGGATGGTGCAGAACTCCAATTGGAAGCCTACAACCCGATCAAGTAGAAACGGATGGTCACTCATATACCAGGGCTGCCCAAAGAGTCCAAGAAGATCTTGGAAATTTTGGCAATACAAAACCCAAGGCTGAACACGGCGATCTGGAAAGTCCACCATGAGACAGAGGTTGGTCCGAAAGGACAAACTTTGTTCCTAAGTGTGGACGAAAACAGCATAGTCAAACTGGAGGAACTGAAGCGCAGTCCATATTTTGGAATGGGCAGAGTTTGCTTCACAGATTATGTTGCCAAGCAGCCACCAGCCCGGAAGGATGTGAAAAAATCCACTCCGCAAAAATCTGGGAAGAGGAAGGCTGAGGAATCAACAGTGCCACTCGGAATAGGAGGTAAGGCACAGGTAAGGAACAAATGGACAAACTTCACTCCTGCCTCGAAAGGGAAGAGAGGAAGTGTGTTACGTAAGGGAAAGGGACCCAGGAAACCGCCACCCTCAATAACGGCCACAGCTGAAGGGAACCTCTCCACGGATCCAAAAGGAAATGTGGAGAGGGACATCACCCACAAGGGGGGCTGTGTGACACAGGGACTGTTTCAGACGCCTGTATCACACCCAGTACAGCATGCTTTCTCAAGCGTCAACATCAGTTTTTCTGAATGGCTGACAATAGAATTCAATTCACGCAAATAAACCTGCATCATAGTAAAGGGGCCAGCAGTGTATTACTAAGGACCCTAACTGAGAGGCATACAATACCCTTACAAATAGCACTTATTCAGGAACCATGGATAAATGGGGACCAGATTAAGGGGCTAAATCTAAGGGGTTTTAAACAGTTTCATAAACAAGCAGATAAACCAAGAACTTGCACTTTGGTTAATAATTAAGTTAAAGCCAGCCTGATACTTAATCTATCAAGTGCAAACTTGACTATTATTAGAGTAACACTAAATGATGGTAAAAGTATTATAGTAGCTTCAGGATACCTATCATATGAGGTCACAGACCCAGGTAGGGACCTAACTATGCTCTTTAATTATTGCAAAAATGAAAAATTAGAACTAATCCTAGGTATGGATGCTAATGCACACCACACTATTTGGGGGAGCAGTAACATCAACCAAAGAGGAGAGGTTATAATGGATCTATTGCTGACTACAGACCTAAGTATACTGAACAGANTTACAGACCTAAGTATTGTGATGGTGTCACGTTTTCATAATCGTGAGAATTATTTTAATAAAATATAGACAGCACATCTGCTGCCTGAGACTGGTGAATTAACAAATAATATTTATTGCCAAATCGGCAATAGGTGTAATTATTATAAAAACCCAATAGACCTGACCATCGTGGTCAGTCGACTCCAGTGCCTTGTGTCATTCATCAGTCTCAGTACTCGGTTGTCGCTGTCCGGCTTACTGTTTAAAGTAAAGTCTTTGTTTATTCCTTTTCTAACCTATATACTCTTTTCCTCGACATTTCAGAGTACTTGTGTCTTGCACTTCGTCTGCACCTCGTGATTTGTTATAATCCTTATCTGGTACGCTCAGTATTTGTATCTTGCACTTCGTCTGCACCTTATACTCGGCTACCCCGTTCTCCCTTTTGAGTACTTGTGTCTTGCACTTCGTCTGCACCTCGTACTTCATTGTCCTCTCCTATACCCCAAGTATTTGTGTCTTGCACTTCGTCTGCACCTCATACCTAGGTGTTACTCTTATTCTCCCTTCCTATAACAACAGCCTTTCGACACCCACAGCTAACCCGGAGTGTCAGCCGAGCACGGTGACTGCTGTACGACAACACGCACGTGAATACCTAGACAGCAGGCACCACCTCCTCATATTCATCTTCGTACACACACACACATTCGCAGTTTACACAGTTACACATTTACTATATCATTTTCTTTCCTGTGTTACGACAGTATACTGAACAGAGGTAGTGAACCTACTTTTGTTATCAGGAACAGGCAGGAAATCATTGATCTGACATTGTGTTCAAAAGGGTTATTTCAAAAGATAAAAGTGTGGAAAGTGTCCTCCGAACCTTCTCTTTCTGATCATAGGCACTTACGATTCACTTTGGAAAATAAGTTGAGACAGTGTACTATAGGAACCCGAAAAGAATAAACTGGGACAACTACAGGGCAGAACTCTCTCGTGACCTGAATAACCTACAGTTTAGATTGGAGTCGAGACAGAGTACTGAAAGGGCTGTAAATATGCTACATACAAATAAAAATTAATTTATAATAGTGAATATAATATATAGATAGCTAATTGTTTTTTATGACATTGCTGTCACAGACACGGATTGTTTATTATCAATTATGACTATTAATAGATATACTTTTTGTATTATCAGTTAGTGTATTTATAAACTCACAACAATGTACCTTACATATCGATGTCATAAAAAACCAATTAGCTANACCTTACATATCGATGTCATAAAAAACCAATTAGCTACCTGTATTTGTAAGCCCTTGTGTATTATATATGTATATTAACTCAAAAATTTGAAACTTTAAATGTTTATATTTAATAAACAAAAACCCAGCACAGTGGTGTCGCGGCATAGTGGGGACGTTGCATAGTTGGGTCCAGTATAGATTTAATCTGACAGTGATT